GAAGTCCAGGAAGACTATGTCCACTGCTACCCCTGCATCTAATGATCTGGTGATCTGATCATAAAAAGCCACCAGGTTGGTCTGACAGGACCTGCCACTGATGAACCCGTGCTGATTGCCCCTAAGCATGCAGTCCCCTGCTGGCCCCTCCTGGATGTGTGCCAGAATTATTTTCTCAAACAGCTTGCCTAGGATCAAGGTAAGACTAATGGTGCACTTTGTGTGCATGGTGGGATTGCAGGGGGGCTTGGGAGTCACAGTCCATCCCTCCAGGGTTCAACCCTTGTTGGGTGTCCTCAGGGCATGCCAAGCCACTTCCTCCCATCCCCATCTGACCTTTTTTGTTCCAGGCTTCGTGATCTCATACACCAGTCTGTATTGCCCAGTCACAGCACGGGGGTCTGGTCCCAGACAAGTTACTGGAACTGCACGTGGCATTCTCCGGGCAGTTTTCTGAATGGGGCGTGGGTGCCCCTTGGGTTTGGTCCCTGCTGGGCTATGGTGGGCGTGGGTAGCTTCCCTTGGCTGCCTGATGGGCAGAGATGGTGGCAGGGTGTTCCTGGGAGCAGGGAGTGTATCAGGTTCTGACTCCAGCACCTAAACACTTCCTGCCTGGCTTCCAGCCTCTAGGCTGCTTTTGTGAGTGCGGCTGCAGGGCTCTGGGCCAATTGGGGATGGACCCTCCAGCCGCAGTGCACCAGCTGTGCTAGCTGCAGCCTGGCCACCTTGGCTGCAGCGCCAAGGTAAGCTGGGTGGAGGCCTGTAACACTCCTACAGTTGCTTATTCTACTCCACCACCATTATTTTAGTCTCATCAAGGTTCAATTTCAGCTGGCTTTCACTCACATATGCTCTAGTTTAGATGAGATGATGATCATTTAAATCAAACAAGGTATAATTGGTGTCTTTGGCATATTGAAAATACCGGACTTTGTGTTTCATTGCTAACCCTCCTGGCAGACGCATGTACAGGTTGAAGGTGACTGGCATCCTACATCACCCTCTACTGGAGAGGCTTGGGAGAAGAGGATCAGTTGACCCTAACCCAGGGGCGGGCAAATATTTTGGGTGGAGGGTTGCTTACTGAAAGTTGGCAAGCCATCAAGGGCAGCATGATAGGCAGCCAGTGGCAGATAAATATTTATTTTCTAACTGTTTTAGGGGCTCCATGGGCCGGTTAGAATGGCCTGTGGGCCGCATTTTGCCCACCCCTGTGCCTAACTGTTTGCCACAACTTCTAGCATAATGCATGACTCAAGATCCTTTAATGGAATGGTCTGGATAAGAGCAAAATTTTGCTGTTCAGCCCAGTTGGTTATTTGGACACTTGAATCAGTGGCTTCATAGAAAATGTGGAAGACCGGTATCCAACTTTGCATAGTACATTACAGTTGAAAACTCCTCTCTCTTGCTTGTCAGGTACTTTGAGGATGAAGAAGAAGATTCCAGCAATGTTGATTTGCCATACATTCCTGCAGAGAATTCCCCCACTCGCCAGCAGTTTCATTCCAAATCAGGAGATTCTGATAGTGAAGATGATCCTCTGGAAGCATTCATGGCTGAAGTGGAGGTAAGTCCCAATGCACAAAATGTTTATAAGCTTAAGTGGTTATATTCATCCCTGATCAGGAGCAGAAAACATGGCTTATGCTATACCTTCTACTAGATTAGTGTTATCACTGTCCTTGAATCTCTGGCCTTTGAATTTAGCTTTACTGCTAAATTCTGGAGCCCTGTTGGGTTAGATAACAAGTGTGAGTGAGTATAACTGCATTAAATTAGTTTCATGACAAAGACAACGCTCTGAGACTATCCTTTTTTTTCTAGTTTCACAGTTCTTAGGGATGAAGGCCTGTTGGATCCACAAGCATTAATTTTTATTTAAATTTGGTTTAAGATTACTTAAATATTCAGGCGTGACAACCTTGGAAATGTTTTTTTTTAAATAGAAATGGTAATATTTGAAGGTGCACTGATACATTGGTGCATATCATATCGACTCCAATAAAAGGAAAATTGACGCTATCAGCAATTGGCTTTTTTTGGGTGATGTGGCTGATAATGTCACCAATAAATACCTCGTGCATATGCGCAGTCTTAGCATGCACATGGCCAGGAATTCAGCCCAGCAGCTTAGAGACCAGCATCTGGTCAGTAAGTCTGTGGGGAGGGAAGGGGGAGCAGTAGATCATGGTCCCCTTGGTGAGGGAGGGAGTAGGGCTGGGGTAGGGGAGGGGGCGGCTCCTGCCACTGTGCGCACCTCCGGGGCAGACGTGCCCCCTGGATCTGTGTGCAGAGCAAGGGTGGGCTGTGCACTTGGGGCTGTGGGTTGCGTTTGGGGCAGGCAGCGATGACAGTGCTTGGAGGGGTGGCTACTGCAAATCTTGGGGTGGCTCTAGCCCCCCCATAGTTCCTCCACCCAGTGCTGCCTGCCCCACCCTACCCACCCTGGGTCCAGCCCCCACTGGGAAGAGGCCAGTGGCAGCCTCTGGCCCCAAGCGCACAATGACAGCCCGCTCTCAGCCTGCGCACAGATCCAGGGGGCCTGTGCTCCCCATGCCTCCCCCGAGGTGCATACAGCAGCAGGAGCTGCCACCCTGCACTCCCTCCCCACCCCGCCCTAGCAGGGCAGTGCCTGCCCCAGCCCCTTCCTCACTGTCGGGACCTCAGTCTGCCTCCCCTGCCCCCATGGATTTACCAGATGACCTCTGCTCTCCATGCTGCTGGGTTGCATATCAGCAGTGGAATTGATCTCAGCCAATATGGCTGGTTAATAATCGGCCATTGGTATTAGTCCAAAAAACACTACCATTAAGTCTCAGCACAAGGCTTTGGAGAATTACTGAAATGAAAAGGGTATAGTTCTTGAGTCTCTCAAGTGTATTTGAAATGCAAAAGCTGAGTCCTAAATCCCAAAGAACCAAAACAGTTGTTAGCCCACTTATTAGCCCTGTGGTAGCTAAGTGTGCCAGCACATGTAGTCTGTCACTTAATATACTTAGCTCCTACCTGCACAGCCAACTCTGCTGAGCAGAAGTCTATATGTGTTACAAACCTCAGAATCCAACACTACTTCTAGTACTTGCATATTAATACAAAACATGTTTCACATTTTTCATACATCTAGTGACAGCGTATTCAACATATGATACAGATAAAGCTTAATAGTTCATAACAGATCTTATACCACGCCTATTATTAGTCTAATTCTTATAAAAAAAAAAATGTAAGGACTGTTTTAGCGCTCTTCAAGGAATGCTTAACCAACATTTTACTGAAGGCTACAAAGATATGGTTGTATTTGGTCCTTGTCTATAATTCTCTTGAGAATCAAAAAATCTCATAATATGTAAAAACCCTTTAAGAGTGACTAAAGTAAAAATAAAGTTTCCAAAAGCTATAACTTCACAATGATCTGATTAAATAATACATCAAAGCTTTATAAAGGCCTTGCTAGTACAACTAATATTTTGTGCGTTTTTCTTACTTTGTTCAGCAAAGTTTTGATTTATGTCTGACACCAGAATGTTTTTAGTTGTAACTGTGCAGCTAGTTGGGTTCTAGCATTTTTTCCTGACTAGTGTGTGGAAAAAAACCCTTTTTCCAGGAACACTGTTATCAAACTGTGGGGTAGACCCCCAAAGAAGTTATTAATATAATTTCATTAGTGTAATGGGAAATGGAATGAGAGATTTAAATCCCAGCAGTATTATCCCCATGCTATGATGGCTTGACCTAGTTATGATGGATTCATTTTGTATTACAAGATCTCTGGATTTTTTTCACTTAAGATATATTATCATGCTTTGAAATATTTATCTGTTTTTATTAAGTTAATTTCATACTAGGGCATTTTCCTTTCTAAGGCTTGTTTTAGCTGTTAATTGATATGAGTACAATTCTGTATCCTCAGGATCAAGCTGCTCGGGACATGAAGAGACTTGAAGACAAAGACAAGGAAAGAAAGAATACAAAGTAAGTACTACTCCATGCCTCACAAAACCTGCCTGCCTTTGTCTTGTTAAAGAGTATTGAGAGAATTTCACCCATCTTCT